TATTGCACAATTATTTCAAAATATTTAAAGGTANGGTCTTCAAAATCTAACTCAAGAGCCACAACCCGATTGTATCCTCAAAGCAGGCTTGTAGGAGTGCCTTCAGCATAAGCTCATCCAATACCTGAAAAATGTATCCCCATAAAGGGTGAGCCAAAACCCAATAAGGTATCTTCTACAGAGAATGCCTCCAATCCCTATGCATATGATATGATGCACATCAACACACAAAGCATATACCCTAAGCAACATACATACATAAGATGCCAAGCATACAAATCATGAATGATTTCTCATGAATGCATGTCCAAACTCTTAACCCCCTCCCAAGTTCTCATACATGACACATGATACTATGCCATGACATGAACTAGACATTACAAGCCCTTGTCATTGATGTTATGCATTTAATGACCATTCATCAACTCTTGTGTCTTTGTTGAGTAGGTAATTTTTGGGCATCACACCTTCAAGTCCAAATACATCGGCGCACTTTTTTGGAATTACATCGCCGGTCAAGTGATTGAACCAAGTAACCGGGCCTTGCACCTGAGGGTGAATCTATCCCTTTTTGCTATACCCAACATAAGTTTTCTATGAAATATTTCATGCGACTCAATTGGACCTTGATCCAAACTTTTTGAGTTTACCCATAAATTCACCATGTGGTGATTGACCAATCCATGCACCAACACACTCACACTCACGCCAATGTCCATGAATGTAGTCAAGGATCAAAATATTGTTTTAAAACAGTCGAAACATCCAAAATATTTTTATTTCCAAGGAAACCGAAACGAATTAGTGATAAAATCGAAATTCTAATACTTCGATGTTTCCATAATATTTCCAAATGTTTTGTTATATTTCAATGTATTGCACAATTATTTCAAAATATTTAAAGGTATTTCACGATATTTTGGTATATTTCGACCAATGTTTTGAAAAAATAATTCTTAAATTTTTTATTTTTTTTCATTCTGTTTTCGAAATAGGTCAAAACGTTTTTGAAATACATTGAAACATTTTCATTTATGAAACACGTCAAAAAGTTTTCGTTTTCTAGGTGATCGAAATAATGCACCAAAATAAAATTTTGATCCTTAAATATAGTGCAAACCGTGCATATGCAATGTAATGTACATTTGACATTTTCAATTCATCATAAGCTAACTATAACATGTGAGCATATGACAATATCCCATAAATATCAAATGTCTATTATATCATGAAGCATCTAATAACATTCTGTAACATCACTAAGCATGTTATAACATTTTTCATTCAAATAACACACTTGAACATTCATAGGTATTTTGTCAAACACCTTTAAGGTACAAACGTAAACACTTAGCATGCCAATACATATTACACATAATTTACATATTCAAGCCCGAATCAAGTAGACATAGGCATAACATGCTCATCAAATTACCCAAACATCTAACTAGTTAAACTAGTTACATAGTAGCTATGTAAATATTCTACATAGTCATGCCTATACCATATACTTAATTGAAATTGAAAGAAATCCTAAATAGAAGGAAACCCTTCCCTCTTAAACTTAATCAAGGAAGAAAACCTCCCAAAAATACTCAAGAAAATCTCCTCCAAGCTAACTCCCAACCCCTTGATTTTTGAAAATGGTAGAAAATTGGTTTGGTTGGTGTTGATGCATAGGCTCATCAAGTAGAACAAATTTAAGTCTTGGCCTGAAGCAATCCAACTGTTGGATCTTCTTAGATTGGAGAAGAAAGGTGGGAGGACTTAGAGAATCTCTCTTCTCTCTTTTTCGGAAGTGGCTGGCTGAAGAATGGGGGGAAAATCTGATTTTTCCCCCTTTAAATACTCCTTGAATGCTTGGCTCATAACATGTTGCACGTCCCAATTTATCTAGTCTAATTTTATCCCGAATTAATTAAATCTCGTCCCGTGTTAAGTTTAGTATATTTTTAATGAACTAACTTTAAATTATTTTTCGTGTCCCGCGAATAAAATCTGATCGTGTTTATTTTAGTTGCGCGATACTCAATCCCTTCGTAAAACGTAAAAAATTTTGACTGTCTCAAAATTCAATGAGAACTAACTAGGTGGCTAGATTTCACAATACGAATCTAACGGTGAGGTCCATTTCGTCATCCGAGTTCTAAAAAAAATTCGAATTTTTAACCTGTACCATAATGGCTAATTACCATTTTACTCTTTTTTAATTAAGTTTTAAATTTTTCGGGTTTTACACCAAAGACCAGAAATAGCAATATTACTAGCAACAAAAGTAGAAACAAAAATGTCTTTGTGCAAAAACTTAGAAAGCCTAGAAACTAAAGCTAAAAAAGGTATTTATATCTCAGTAGGTGGTACAGACCATTCTTCACTTCACCCATCCCAATCATTCTCCAAGATAAAAAGTTTTGAATAAAACAAGAATTGGGGAGGAAGACAAGACAAGTAAGGGGTTCAGCTATTTGTTTTGCAGAGAATAAATTGAAAGAGAAGGATGGAACACAAAGCACATCTGTGAGAATGATGTCCTTTTTCCAAGATCAGTTACTAATACTTCATCACCATTTGGTAACTTAACAGAATAGGTAACTTCTGTTGTAGTTGTTATAAAGAAAGAAGTGCTACAGATCATATGATCTATGGCACCTGTGTCAATTATCCACCGCACATAAGCTAGATTAAGAGATTTATGTGTGTATGTTGAAAGGCAAATAGAGACACTAGACATCTTGGATGCATTTTGTTCATTTGTGACAAGGCTGAAAATAGAAATAGCCTGATTTGCAGAATGGAAGGTGGTAGAAGAGTCCTTATGCTGCAACAGAGCCAAAATTTGTTGATATTGACCCTTAATTCTATCTTGTCTTCAGTTTCTTCCCTTTGATCAGCAATTGATATGCTAGACTGATTAGCAAAAACACTAGGAGTCTTTGTCTTGCTATAGAGCTTGTGTCCTTATGGATATCCATGAAGCTTATAACATTTCTCCACTGAATGGCCAGTCATGTTGCAATGTATACAAACAGGAACTTATGCATTTCCATCCTTGTAGCAATTTTCCAGAAGATGACCTTGAACCTTACAATGAGTACAATAAGGTCTAATAAGATTAAATTAATAACAAACCGATTTTATAAAAATAGTAAGGTTCAACTGATTTTAATAAAAACCGGCCGGTTTAAACAGGTTTTAAACGGGTCACTGCTAAGATGGTCTAATTTTAGAATCGGATTGGCTATGGTACCGGTTTACCAATCTGATCGGCCGGCCTGGTTTAGTCTAGTTTTAATAACTATAGACACATGAAATTCGCTGGCCTATGAAGGAATTGGAACTAGAATGTGCTAGATGATAATATTTTGCTTGAAAAGCGTGTTATACACGGGTAAACACATTTTTCAGAAAAATATAAGAAGTGTGAACACATTTTTCCCACTGCCCCCTTTTTATTTTTTTTTTAAAAGTGATGTTGATTCCGTTTTTTTAACAAAAACAGAGTTACTGACTCATTTTTTTTTTTAACAAAACGGAGTTATTGAATCCGCTTTTAAAAAGTGTCATAATTTGATAAATAAGTTATTTTAATATATTCACTTAAAAAATATGGTGCTTTGGTAAATAACTCCTCTCATGATATAATATTAAAAATGAGGTTTTAGGACCAAGGTTTTTGCACATTTCAGAACTAGAGTGTAGGTACATAATATCTTAAATCCTCCTTTAGTCTTTTGCCCATGCAATCCACACCATCATCAACNAAAAAATGAGGTTTTAGGACCAAGGTTTTTGCACATTTCAGAACTAGAGTGTAGGTATATAATATCTTAAATCCTCCTTTAGTCTTTTGCCCATGCAATCCACACCATCATCAACTCATCCACTTCACTGTTTTCACAACTATAACCTTGAAATGGAGGAGCAAGGTCCATTAAAACTTGATTCAGAACTCATCCTCAAGGAGGACCACTGAAGCCTTCAACGAATTCTCGCATCTAATGAATGAACATCCAAGACATCAAATACCTTTTATGACTACACAATGACTGGAGCACAACCATCATATAGGGGAATGCTGACACAGCTGCACATGAACTGGCCAAATGGGGACTGGTAACTAGGTTGGTAACGTGTAGGAGCCATTTATCCAAACTGTCACGCCAACACCTCCAGTACGGAGTTAGCACTTTGTAGCCGGTGGAGTTCTAACCTCATGCCAAATTGTTTTTGAACTTTTAATCAGCTTAAAAAACAAAAACGCAAGAGTATAGACTTTTACACTGTAATCGTAACAGCTATCTGCACAAAATCTCACTGTACCTGCACCAGAGCCAAAGCTAAAATTCCATTGCGTATTGTAGACATGGAAGAGTAGATTTAACCATACCAAGCTACCATAATTATGAAAGCTCAAATTCAAGAATTGAACAAGAAAATCCGACTTCTTACCCAATGGACTAACTTCTCGGGGGTATTTGGCTCTCTTTTCATTTTACATCCATCACGTTGTGCCACTACAGGAGCGCAAGGAAAAAAGGATCCTTATTATTTTTTGTCCCATATAGGCTGCACCGAAGGTAGGCCTGCCTAAATTTAAAATGGGGGAAAATGCATGAAACAGATGATACATAACTATGGTATGTTAAAAAAAATAAAAAATAGATAACCGAGCTGCTTAAATACAAGGCATATGACTACACAAAATATTGGCCTTGCTAGAAGATGCAATGCTTGTGGTTCAACTTGTGAGAATTTATGTGAACCGTACTCTCACCAATACTCAAAACATCTGGGTTGGCGCAGCTGCATGGAAATGCATAAAGTGTCTATGCAATTTCAATGCCAAGCTAACATATTTAGATGTGTCTGCCTCTCAAGCATCTGAAAGTTTGGAAGGTCAAAAGTCTAATCTGCATCCACATTATCTGTTTCCAAAATGCTTGTTCGAGAGAATTTACAGCGGAGAGATGCTACTATGTCATACAGGGCATTGGAACATTTTAGGAGGCGACCGTCTCTGCAAAAGGACCTTCTGGCGCACGTTGGTTGGCATCAGCCACGATCAAAGTCAACATTTCCTGATGTCTTTGTTCATGGGCTTTTCTCCGGTTTGTTTCCAGTATAATGAGGAGTGCTGTAATGTCCGCAGGGCTAACCCCACCAACTCTACTTGCTTGACCAATGGTTTGTGGCCTGACCTGAAAAAAGGGGAATTCAATAGATAGTCACTTGCAATTGTCTAAGGAAATGAACTTGATAACAGAATTGCCCCCAGATATTTATTTCTTCAAAAGGAGTAGGATGAAAATTATGCACTAGTGGTGCTGAAACAATAGATACTGATGTGAAATTATGCTAATTCACCAAGACAAATAAACTATTCTCACTCCAGAGTTGATATTCTTCTTGGATTCATGTTCTCTGCTTAGACTAAGGCATGAAATAGTGTTTTGGAAAAATTAAATCCTTGCAACTTGAAGCAGAGAAAGGCTTTTTAAATCTCATCCTACATATATCTGGCTTGTGCCAAAACAATTTTTTTGATGAAAATTGCCATTCCTTGTCAGATGCCAATTCCATTGTTTCCTAAGAGAAACCAGCACCATTNACTTGCAACTTGAAGCAGAGAAAGGCTTTTTAAATCTCATCCTACATATATCTGGCTTGTGCCAAAACAATTTTTTTGATGAAAATTTGCCATTCCTTGTCAGATGCCAATTCCATTGTTTCCTAAGAGAAACCAGCACCATTCTCCGGAATTAGTTTAGGGGTGTTTCCCAGAAAGTATAATGATAGACACATGATGATTTTTTCATATTTTGACCATATAAGCTTGGTCCAAAATTTTGGCAGGGTAGATCCACGCTCCAATTTCCAAGAGGCGAAGAGATTATTGTATAGCAAAAGTTACGTCACAAATGGTGCAAAAAAAGAAATCATGCAACAAACCTTGGAAAGCTTCTCACGTGCTTCAAGGGACAACGTTGTCATTGCATAGTAATCCAGGTCCTCTGGAAGAGGCCTATGTTGTTGATGAACCATCTACAAGCATAACAAGCGAAAGATTTGTCAAATTGGACAATTGGTCTTCAACAAACAATGCTGTAATATAACATTCCCAGTGCAATATACAGATGAATTGACATTAATCATGCATATACCAATTGGTAACTAACATGTTCGGGAAACAAAAGCTAACATGCTCACTAAACATATCAAGCCCATACAAGTGGGTGTAGTATAAGATTCTAAAAGGTAAAGGGTATGCCACTACCCTTGACAAAATTGATTCTTTACCTGTTGGAGTTGACTCTGCTGGCGCACAATGAAGCCCGCGTATTTTATATCAATCTCTACACATTCTTTCTCTATCTTTGATAGCTGTTCATTTCCAAAACCATGCTTATCAAAAATTTTATATTGTACATGTGGTTTCTTAAGAAGGCTCTCTAGTGTTGAAGAGTCCTTGAGTGGCTGACCAGACACAATACTAACTTCGGCAGCCAAATCTCCACCTGAAAGTAAACACCAAAGAGGATTGCATTACGTAAATTCCAAATCCAACAGATCTTTAACTGGTTTCTATTCAAATAAGTCAACTTGACAAAATGTAACCAGACCAGTCATAAAAGGCAACAAAATACAACATGCAATAAGGTGACATCTGTCAATAGAAAAAGAGAAGTCCTGAATCAACAGAATTCACGAGTATGTTAACAGGATTTACAATTCCATGCCATCAAATTATTGTTTGGAAATGGCCTAAACCCCCGATCTTATTGCAACAGAAAACAATTAGATTGTTGGAGGTTCTTTAATTGTCATTAATGTTGCTTTCTATGTTCTCACGTGTGTGCAGTGGTAATTATAAAAGTAACACACCCAAAGACTTTAGGAAGAAGGGAAGAAATAGAAGTAATAGACGAAGACTCAGAAAAACGCTCAATAGGTGACCAAAACTGAAGGACACTCGAGGGTAGATGATCAATAAGGTAAGGTGCAGTACGTGCCTCCCCCCAAAAGAACCGAGGAACATTCATAGTAAACAATAATGAACGTGCAACTCAAGGAGATTGCGGTTTTTCCGCTCTGCAACACCATTTTGTGAAATTCTATAGCAGGAGAAAACTTCACATTTAGTCCGTAGTAGGTAAACCCAAGTGAGACGAGAATAACAATTAATAAAAGTAACAATCCAAAAATATCCAGAGATAGACATAACATGAGAAGGGCCATACGCATCAGAATGAATAATGACATTACTACTTTGATAAGATGAACGTTTATGCTTAGCAAATTCACAAGCACCACAATCAAAAAAGTGTATACTACACTGCTTCACTAAATTAGAAAAAAATATGCTCTAAAACACCAAAGGAATGATGCCTCAAACGCCTATGCCACTAATGTAAAAACTGCAAAGCTGATCCACCATTTGCCTGGAAAAGCTTGACTGGTAAACTAAGGTGTAGCTTCAGCATCCAAAAGACACAAACCATCATATGTTGTGCCCCTACCAATTGTTTTCCTCGATTTCAGTTCCTAAAAGATACAACTAGTAGAAAAAAAGGTCAATGAACAATTCAAAAATTTTGTTATACTATTGAGAGATATTAGAGTGAGGAGATTGAGAACGAGTTTCTAAAGCGTCAGTCATATGTACCATTGATTCAGGAGCTAGTGGTCATATGTATGGTATTTCTTCCATATTCTCTAATTTTCGTTCATCAGATTCACATATTGTCTTAACTGATGATTTTTTTGAGCAATACATGGGACTAGCAATCTCTGTCCTACTTAGTCTATGTAATTAACCTCTAGTTTGTTTGTTCCTAATTTTTCTTTTAACTTGTTATTTATGAGTCAATTAAATAAGTTCTTACAATGTTCGGTGATTGTTTCTCCATCTTTTTGTGTTTTTCAGAACCTTAAGACAAAGAAGATGATTGGTGTGGTACATGAGCGTAATAGTTTTTCCTGCTTAGATTCTAGTGATTCTGTTGTTGCCTTGAATGCTAGGGTGTCTACCCTGTAGTGCACTTCGACTAGACCATTCTTTCNGTTAAATAAGTTCTTACAATGTTCAGTGATTGTTTCTCCATCTTTTTGTGTTTTTCAGAACCTTAAGACAAAGAAGATGATTGGTGTGGTACATGAGCGTAATGGTTTTTACTGCTTAGATTCTAGTGATTCTGTTATTGCCTTGAATGCTAGGGTGTCTACCCTGTAGTGCACTTCGACTAGACCATTCTTTCTTCCAAAAGTTACATCAAATTATCCCTGGTTTGAGATCTTTTGTGTTAAAATGTGGGGCTTATCAATTAGGCAAACACCACTGTAGTTTTTTTCCTCCTAGTTCTACAAGTTGTGAGTCTTATCCATTCAATGTTGTCCATACAGACATCTGGGGTCCTACAAGAGTCAAAAGTATCTCTAGTTTTCAATATTTTGTAATATTTATTGATGAGTTCTCTCGTATGATTTGGTTATTTCTTATGAAAGACAAATATGAATTGCCTAAGGTTTTTATTACTTTTATAATAAAATTTTGGTTCAGCTTGATGTACGTATTAAAATGCTTCGAACTGACAATGTTATTGAGTATATTCAATCGTTTATGAAAATCTTTTGTATTGACCGTGGCATTATCCATGAAATTACCTGTCCATGTACCTCCCAACAAATGGCGTTACTAAATATAAACATCGTTATTTATTGAATATTGACCGCATCTTGATGTTTAACATGCATGTACCAAAATCATATTGAGCTGATGTAGTTCTTACTTTAGTATATCTTATTAATCATATATTTTTTCTCATTTTAGATAATAAATCTCATTTCTTGTTGTTATACCCTAATAAACCTCAATTTGGTCTTATTCCTCGTGTCTTTAGTTGTGCAACATTTGTTCATTTTCTTGGTCCAATTCAGTATAAACTTTTACCAAACTCGATTAAGTGTCTTTTTGGAATATTCTTGTACTCAAAAAGATTATTGCTGTTATTACCCTATTTCTCGTCAATACAATGTTAGTATTGATATTACCTTTTTCAGTCATCTTCATTTTTTCCTACATCAAGACAAACATTTCTCCACATTTAGTCTTTCCCAGGGGGAGCTCTTATTGCCTATTCTACCAGATTATGCATCTTTGTTCTCCGCTATTACTACTCCACTAAGCTCCAACTCCACAACAATCTCCTAATTCTACTAGAGCCTATCCTTCTTAGCTGTCAGGTAGTTCATCATTTTCTGATTTATGTATTACATCGAGGAAAAGTACTCGTACTTGTATCCAACACCACATTTCTAAATTTTGTCTCTTTACATCGATTTTTCTCATCTTTTCGTTGTTTTACATCAACCTTGTTTTCTGTATCTATTCCTAGTTCTTTGCAACAAACATTAACATCTCCCGGGTGAAAATTGACAATGGATAAGGAAAATGAAAGCCCTTCATGATAGTCATATATGAGACATAACCCCTCTTCCTTATGGTAAACAGCCTATCAGCTGTCGCTAGGTCTACATTGTGAAATATCATTCTGACGTTTCCGTTGAGCATTTGAGGGCACAGTTGGTTGCCAAAGGCTACACCTAGACATATGGTGTGAATTATAGTAAGCCTTTTTCTCTAGTTGCTTGTCTTAACTCTATTAGAATTCTTGTTTCTGTTGTAGTCAATTTTTATTGGCCATTGTATCAACTTGACATAAAGCATGTCTTTTTACATGAAAATCTATAGGAGGAGGTATATATGGCTCAACCTTCAAGTTATGTTTTTTTTTAAAAGGAACAATTAGTGTGTGGTTTGAAAAAAATATTGTATGGCCTAAAATAGTCACCACGTACTTGGTTTGATAAATTCAATGCAGTGGTACTTCAGCTTGGCTTTCAGCTCTTCACTACCATAAGTCTTTTGCATGTGTTATCATTATTATTATATATGTTTATGACATTATCATTAGTGGCAATGACTAGGATGATATAGTCCATTGGCTCAGCCTGCTTTAGTAGTTTCTGTTCTAAATTGAGCATTTTTTATCTTTATGCTCCAACTTGAATGGAAGTATTAGAATTCTTATTTTTATATTTTATGTTTAAGCTTATGAGGATAAGCTAATGTAGGGTAATATTATAATTACCCTAGATATTTGTTCAATATAAATAAGAGGGTGTAGCGTAACATAGCCTAACATAGATTATTCTCATTCTCTTTTTCTCTGCATATCTTATTCTCTACTATCTTTCTCCAATGTATTTTACATTTTAATTATATAAATATACTATATTCAAGACTTGAATATGCATAACGATATTTTGAGCTTTATTATACAAGTTTTTATGAATAATAAATTCATGCGTGCTAGTAAGTCTCCAAATGCGCACACACTTTGCTAAAGCTCTGTTCAGGGAAAAGTCGAAAATATTCAATCTAGAAAAATAGTAGCCCATAGATGGGGGACTATTGCTTAGCATTAACAAATTGACTGGTTCAATTGAACTGGCTTATTGTCACTTAGCGAGGTGCTAATCGATCTTAATCAAGCCTAACCTTCAGTAACTTTCGATATCACTCCATCACACATCCATAAAATGGAGCTTAAAATGAGTGTAATGAATAAAACAATGACCGAAATAATTCAAGGTAGAAGAATTCCGTAAAAATTTTCATGATTCCATTCAACCCCAACTCCCTCTCCCAAAAAACAAAAGCTCAAATGACTCTTTCAGACATCTACATCTTCACTTATCAAATAGAGAAAGGTTGTTGTCGGCCCTTCTAGATTTCAATTCCTTATTGAGATTGAGATCTTGTTCCATTAGACCCAATGCAGTAAGATCAGTTCCATAATATAACTTGTCGGACTGGGCTTTTAGTTATTTGGTTGGGTCGGCCGTAATGAATGATTGTTGTTCAGGAACAAAATAATAAGACTTAAGAGTTTCGCTATTATTCTTCGCCTAAAGCAGTAACTTCACTCTTTGACCCTTCACTGTCGCATGAACTTTTGCCTAACTATTACAAATTCTCCACATGCACCAATGAGGATGAAGTGAGAAGATTGTTGAATTCACATTGCTTTTCGTGGGTCAACCTAGATGCTGGTACTTCAGATTTTCAGATACAACAAACTTCACTTTACCACTTTGAGGTCAAGCCCAAAAAAAATAAACTTCAAAACTATGCAAATAGACCTCAAGTGGTATGTAGGAAATGTGTTCCTAATAGACAAAAATGCACTTATAATTCTTAGAAAATACAAAAATAACCCCTATCTACCTTTTCTTTTCTCCCACATTTCACTCTCTCTCTCCCCCCCCCCCCCCCCTCCTGG